GATAGTCCCAACACTCACCCAAGGGGCTTGCACGATGGCGGCAGCAGCGGCAGCAACCCAGCGCGGTCTGCGACCGACTGTCCCTTCCCCCTTGCCTTCCCTCTCCTGCCCGGTTGCACTATGGGAAACACAGTCCGGCCGCTCTCCTTCCTGGCATTAGTACGCTAAAAGAAAACTACAATTCCCGGCATGCTACGCGCGGAGGCCCAGACACTGCCCGCAGCGCGGGAGGAGAGGCTAAACCAGGGAGGGAGGCAGCCGGGGCGAGCCCCTGAGAATTGTGGTCTAGCGGAAGCCTCTGGAACACTGAGGTTGGCGCCAGTCAGGGGTCAGGGCTCTGCGGTCGCTCGGTCCCGGCTGGCCTGACCCCGCCCAAATTGTGCTGCCGAAGGTGGCTGGCCCCGCCTCCTTGAGAGCCCAGTCCAGCCCCGAACTGGCCCAGCCGCTCCTCCCTAGGGCCCCAGGCTGTTTCCTCTCTTGAAGCCCCCTACCATCTTGGGCTCTGACTGCTCTTTGGACTCTTTTGAGATGTACAACTTTAGCAAGCCAGAGTAGATCCACAACTTCTGTCCTAATATTCCTGAGTCCCAACCCAGGGCCAATGGGGCCCAGAAATAGTTTCAAGCGACTAGGCCTTTTTTGGGGGGGCAAATGCTCCTCAGGTGAGGCTTGGCTGGATAGATTACTCTCAAATTTATACAGAGAATGGTCTTCAAAACATTATCGTAAATACCTCTACACACACCAGCAGGTAAGTAAGAGTTATTAAAGAGAAATAACTGGCTCATTCAGAGTTTCCCTGCTATTTAAATTACTAGATTGTAAATGACCATCCTCCCACCTTTTGCCCTTTACTTTCAACATCCTTTTCATTGTTTCCTCTGTAACAAACATCTGAAGTAAGATCTATCACTAGATCAAGTCTGTGCTGGGAAAAAATAGCTCTAAGGCAGCTCTGCAACCAACTTAAGGGACAGCAGGAAAGGAAAATGGAGCCAGGATTTCCCAGCCAACTCTAAGCCTTCCCTCCTAGTCAGAGATTCCCCATATTACAGTTCTTCCAGAATGTTTGCACCATTCCCATCCACCTCCTGGGAATGATTAAGACCAGACTAAGCTTTCTTGATGATTAAATCCCAGATCTGTCCAGATCCCACTTTGCCTGACTAGCATTCTGAACATTCACCTACTTAGAACTCTGCTTTCCTATTAGCAGTACATGTGTGTGCACCTGTGGCCTCCCTTGCTCTATGAACTGCCCTCCTTCCAACCAAAACACCACACAGGATATGTGCATATAACACCAGACACCAAGGCGAGTCCAGAGCTGCTGAGGGGTTCTAGAGAGCAAAGCACGAACAGATGTCCTTTCAACCCTTTGATGGCTGAGTTCAGGGGTACACTAAAAGGTGTACATGAGGCTGGGTGTGGTGGCACACGCCTATAATCCCAGCACTCAGGAGGCTGAGGCAGGAGGATCGCTGTGAGTTCAAGACCAGCCTGGACTACATAGTGAGTTCCAGGTCAATCTCAACTACATAGTGAGACCAAAAAAACCAAAAAAATAAAATAAAAAGAAAAAGTGTACACGAACTGGTATACACTTGTAATTCCAGCACTCCTGAGACTGAGGCAGGAGGATTGCCACAAGTTTGAGGCCAGCCTGGGCTACAAAGTAAGTTCAAGTCCAGCCTGACCTATATAACAAGACCCTTTCTAAAAAAAAAAAAAAAAAAAAAAAAAAAAAAAAAAAAAAAAGGTATAAAAAAAGGCCTGGGGAAGTCTCTGTTCAACAAGAGTAGGAAAAAGAGACTGACCCAGTAAGGACCCACCTGGTTTCAATGTGCACTGATGATGTGCTCTTACCATCTGATTTTCAGCCAGACTTAACCCGTGGAAGGCAGAGATTCAGTTCCTTTGCCAACCTGTCACCTATGACAAATGCTGAGTACTGTCTCCTTCCCCACCAGACTTATTTCCCAACTGAGTGCCAAAGAACCAGTAAAGTGGAAGAGATGACTGAAGTTTTAAGACTGCTCCAGCTTGAAGTCACAAGGCAAGTTCCAGAAGGAAGTCATATTTCACAGAGCCCAAGAATGTGTCCCAACACACATAGTAAACAATGATAGATTTAAAGACATTTACCTCTAAGATGTCTTTTGTTGTTGTTGTTGTTGTTGTTACTGGGGATCAAACTTGGGACTCTGTGCTTTTGAGACAGGTAACAGAACCACTGAGCTAAATCCCAGACCCATCCCCAGGATGTCTTCGCACTATCTTAGAGCAACAGATAAAAATTTCACCCTCACCCCTTCAATAACCAATCTAAAGATACAAGCAGTCAAAACTATAAATCAAGGGGTCACAAATCCTATCTCCTTAATACCTTCTGTAGATTCAGACTTTTCACAATGGAGGTATACCAAACCCAAAGTATATATACAAGAATCACTGTGGCTTCATCCGGGTGTGGTGGCACAGGCCTGTAATCCCAGCACTTGGGAGGCTGAGGCAGGAGGACCACTGTGAGTTTGAGACCAGCCTGGGCTACATAGTGAGTTCCAGGTCAGTCTCAACTACATAGTGAGACCCTGTCTCAAAAAAAAAAAAAGAATCACTGTGACTCAAACAGCCACGGCTGATTCCAGCTGTGGTCTTGTTTATTAAGTGCATGTACCAGATACTGTGCTACATTTAACGGATGAAATAGTGAGCAACTCCAGCTGAAAATTTAAGAAATTTAAAACCCTGAGAGGTAGGAGGAACTAAATTCAGCTCTCATCTTGTCAAAAGGACACAGGGAGAAGCAAGTATGGCAGCACACACCTGTAACCCCATCACTCCACAGGCTGAGGCAGGACTGCTGTGATTCAAGGTCAGCCTGGGCTACATACTGAGATCCTGTCTCCAAAAAAATAAAATAAACAAAAGACACAGGGAGAAGCTAGGAATGGTGGCACAGGCTTTTAATCCCAGCATTCTGGGAGGCTGAGACGGAAGGTCTCAGATTTGGTGCCAGGTTGGAGAATTTAAGTGACTCAGCAAGACCCTGTTTCAAAGTAAAAATTAAAGGACTATCAGGCATGGTGGCATACACCTGTAGTCCCAGAACTTGGGAGGCTGAGATAGAAGCATTGCTGCGAGTTTAAGACCACCATGGATTACATAGCAAGTTCAAGGTTAGGCTGAACCACATAGACCCTGTTTCAACCCTGCCTCCCCTGCAAAAAATTAAAGGGCTGAAGATGTAACTCAGTGAAAAGGCCCTGGATACTGGGGAGTGGGGATACAGGAAAAAATCCTGTGGACAAACTGAGATCATTTGGTGCAGTGTCCAGTCTTTGGAATGAAATGGGCCAGAAACCCTAAGAGGCCCTTGTAAGGCCAAGGTTCATGTGCTAACAACCACTTTATGGAGAAACCTGGTCAATGAAACATCTCTACTCTTAGAGTTGGCCTGGTCTTATAGACTAAGGCTTATTTTTCCATAATTCAATGCTGTTCAGCAAAGTTTTATAAAAATAAAATGCCAAAACCCAAATAAAAACCTTACTTTTTGTTTAATTTGTTTTGCCAAACAACACAGTGAAAACTTTAGTCTAATTGTACAGAAAATAGAATTTGTAACCAGTAGCAAACATAACAGGATAAACCTAAGTCCCTGGCAAGCTGGATCTTCATCAGCAGGTCACCCAGATCCCCTCATAAATGGCCTCCTGGGTAGGAAGATCCTAAGAGGCAGAGGCACAAATCAACTAGTCCCCATCAGAATCAGAACCACAGACTGCACCTGGAAAGGGTAAGCATGAAAAGGAAGGAACTGATGTTACTTGAATCTCTTATCACTACACACAGTCAAATTGTCTCTGATTGCTAGCCAACCTTAGGGTGTGGCTTTCCCAAACTCAGTCCCCCGGCAGCGCACCTGAATCCCTCTGAGGTGTTTCAAGTTCAGTGATTCTGAAGCCTCTGCTAAACCAGAACCTGCAACTAGGGAAGGAGAGTAGAGAGTCATTAATTGCTGGTGTCACCAGTGCCAAGTCTGAGGCCCCAAACTCCTGTTCTAGAGGAAACAAGTTAAGAGTGCCAGATCCCCAGCAAGAGGTCAGCTGCCTTAAGCCTCGGTACTGTCAGCCAAAGTATAGAAAAGTCAACATTGGCCTGAGGATTCCTTGGGCTGGAGGGGGTCTGGGAGTTCTGCAGGCCACAAGGAGACCCATTCACATCCCGTGCTTCTTACGGATGACAGCCATGGCAAGCAGACGATCTTTTTCACGAAGCTCTTCTCGAAGCTTGGCCTCAGTGAGACGCAGGTGGCGGATGCTACCCTTCATCTCTTTCATCTTCACTTCCATCAATGCCAGGATGTCCCGCTGCTCATTCAGTTTGCGCAGGAGCTCCTCCTCTGTGGTGCCTGACGACAACGAGTATGAGTGGTCGGAACCGGTATCGGGGAAGCCCTCTTCACCTACCACCACTAACTGGGGGCCCATCGGGCACTCCGCAGCCTCCAACCCAGCGGTGGCAGCTTCTAGCTCCGACACGGCGGCGGCGGCTGCGCCCTCTGCGGCAGCGAATTCCACTTGCACAGTAAGGTCGATGGGCTTCACATCTTCTCCAGTGGGAGTGGTGGGTGCCGGCGGACCGGATCCAGGAGCCTGACTGCTGTCTACCGCAGCCTGAAGGGTGAGAAGCACGGCTGCAGAGGCAGACACCAGGTTCGGCTGCAGCTGCGAGGTCTGGGCAGTGGAGACGGACGCCGACGGCTGCTGCTGCTGCTGTTGTTGCTGCTG